ACTTAACAAGCGTCTTCAGAGCATCAATATCAATTCCAACATGTCGGCCCCTTAAAGCTGAAAATCACCTGAACGAAATTTGCTGAACCATCGTTGACACTTACGAACATTCAAAATATTCATTGATATTCTTTATGGCTACAGAGGCGTTGTTTCCCTTCTTGTATTCAAACAGCATTACATTCCGAATGTGTGTATCGTCGTGAGTCATCACTATAAGAGATTAGGGTATACTAAAACTTTACACATTATATAGGCTACACTAACGTGACGTTTAGGCGTTTCTTTTAACTATTATAGGTGATGGTTGATGAAAGTGTTCCAAAACGCGAAATTAATTTTTTGACGACCTAATATAATAGTACTAGCTGTTGTACCCGTTCAATTCACGGGGAAGACATAAGGGAGCAAGTTATTAATCTAATCTTAATTACGTAGGATATAAACAAACTATTTTATTTTTGAGTTTTATTTTCTGTCAAAAAAAAAAACAAATTCTAAAAATTCTAAAACACGTAATTTGTCATGAAACTTTACAAAACAAGAATAATTATAAAGAAGAACGCCACTCAGACAAACAAACGAAACGGTAATCATAGAACTATAATACTAGAATACCATAAAGGTATTAAAATCTGTTAATGACTGTCTTTCTTTATTCATAAAATATTGATTTTACATCTATTGTAAATAATCCCCCACCCTCACCCCACAAATATCTATATATCAACCAATGTACGTTTATGTGTATAACAATTTCCGGAGATTTTGACGTTGGAAACATTGTGGGTTGTATTTGTACTTAAGTTTTTATAACAGGAGAAAGAATGGGGAATTAGAGTGAAGATATTTGTAGTACATAAACAAACCAGCTATAATTAGTTTTATGTATGTGTGTGAAAACATTCATGTGTATATATATATATATATATATATCAAAAAATGAAATCGATATCTTACTTCATTGATACAATAAAAAAGATATAATTTATTATGCTTTTAAAAACACACCTTTACATTTGTTTTAGGAATGAGAGTTTAAAACCAGGAAAGAAGTTGAAAAATCTTATTACCTCGAGAAATAACGTTGGTTCAATTGATTCCTTACAAGTTCACTGGACTAAGAGTCCCGTGTCTATCTTCGACCCTGAATTCTGGCACAGTAAAAAAGGCAAGGGCAGAAATGAGCTATTTCTTCGATCCATCAAAGTTAACCCTCTGAATGGAGCTTCTCGTCAGTAAGTAGTACAGAAATTTATGTTCCTTATTTTCACTTTGAAATCTTTAAATACCAAAGCTAAATTTTCATATTACGTAAGTTAACGCGAAAAGATAATTTCGTTATAAAGTTGAATCACGTATTGTAAAACGCCTGTCCTGTTATTTTTAATCTCACCTGAGTTTATAATATAATGTCACCTCTCAGCAGTTTTATGATCATATTCTGAAAACTAGAACGATATCTCCAAGTGATGTTTTTTTTTTCAGGTTTAAAAATCTACGTTTTCCAACACACGCTTTTCTGTACTAACTTCTGAAATGAAAAGTAATATGGAACATTCCTAGCTAAC